CTCGCCGAAACCGGTTTGGCTCAGTGGATAGAGCGTCAGCCTGCAGACCGAAAGGTCCCAGGTTCGATTCCTGTCAAGGGCATGTACCTTGGTTGCGGGCACATCCCCAGTAGGGGGTGTGCAAGAGGCAGCTGATCGATGATTCTCTCTCATCGATGTTTCTAACTCTCTATCCCTCTCTCTTCCTCTCTGTAAAAAATCAATTAAAAAAATATATATTAAAAAAGAAAAAAAAAAGAAACTGTACTTAAAAAAAAAAAATAAGTACACCACTCATTGGATTCAGGGCCCCCATCATCCAGTGTGACCTCAACTTACAATAATTCCATCAGCAAAGACCTTATTTCCAAACAGGTCACATTCACAGGCTCTGGGGTTAGGAACTGAGCTGCCTTCCTGGGAGGACACCTCCCTACAGAAGGACGAAGCCACACCGTGTGCCTTGCATATGCAGGGTTGCCCGTCGCTGAGAGCAAGCCCTACCGAGAGCCACCTGCATCCACCTCGGTTCACAGCAAGGCTTTTGCGCTGGATAATTGGAGGTTTTCCTGGGACTAGGGGAAGTAACAAGGTCTCCGCTGCCCGGAAAGCCGCAGCCCTGTGGTCCGGCAGGGTGGGAATCTGCTCTGCCTTTGTCAGAAGCCGTGACCTTTCCTCCCAGGAGCCCAGAGTCCTGCTGAGTCGGCTCCTCCAGCTCTCCGGCGTAAGCTGGAACATTTATGGAATGTCCACCGCATTCTATGGACTGTGCCAGGCGCCTCAGCCTCATGACCTCCTTCCACTCCCAGGATAGCACCTGCCCTGGGGCCTGCCTTTCTCCCCACCCACTCTCCCTTCCCCGCTGCTCTCTCTGCTCCTGACACCCTGGTCAGCTTTCTGATCTGTTCCAGCAACTCGCCAAGCTTGTTTGGTCTCAGGGTGCTGGCACCTGCTGTGCCTTCCACAGGAATGCCCTTTCCTCGGTCTTCCCATGATGCCAGCCTCTCGCCTTCACTCAAAAGCTGACTCAGTGGATAGAGCGTTGGCCTGCGGACTGAAAGGTTCCAGGTTCGGTTCCAGTCAAGGGCATGTACCTTGGTTACGGGCATATCCCCAGTAGGGAGTGTGCAAGAGGCAGCTGATCGATGACTCTCTCTCATTGATGTTTCTCTCTATCTCTCTCCCTTCCTCTCTGTACAAAAATCAATAATATATATATATATTTTTAAAAGTCACCTGCTCACCCTACCCAGTTTGGCTCAGTGGACAGAGCAGAGCACCAGCCTGCATACTGAAGGTCCTGGGTTCGATTCTGGTCAAGAGCACAGGCTCCTCCCCAGCCTGGCCCTGATGGGGGCTTGTGCAGAAGGCAACCCATTGATGTGTTTCTCTCACATCGATGTTTCTCTCTGTCTTTCCCCCTCTCTCCCACTCTCCCTAAAAATCAATGGAAAGATATTCTCTGGTGAGGATTAACAACAGCAACAAAAAGTCACCTGGGCAAAGAAGCCTTCCCTGGCCACCCTGATTGCGCCCTGCCCCCTCCTCCTTCATCTTGCTTATTTCCCTTGTTGCAACTACCTGCTTTCTTCATCCGTTTATTTACTTATCATCTTCCTTCCCTTTTGTATCGATATCAATCAGGGTTCTTAAGAAAAAACACAGAACCAGTTGGCTTTCATTACCTACATAATACATATTTGTATGGTTGTATATATTATTAATTAATTAATATATACTATTATTGTGTTTATTTATATTATATATGTACAATTATACATATAAGTACGTATACTTTATTCATAATATAGGTATGTTTTAACATATTATTTTGTATATATGATTGTGGGTATTATATATATGATTTGTTCCAAGGAATTGTCTTGCTCAATTGTAGGGATGTCAAGTCTAAAATCCATAGGGCAGGCTGGAAACTTAGGCTGGATTCGATGCTGTAATTCTTTTTTTAAAACATATTTTTAATTGATTTCAGAAAGGAAGGGAGAGGGAGAGAGAGCTAGAAACATCAATGATGAGAGAGAATCATTGATTGGCTGCTCCTGCATGCCCCCTACTGGGGATTGAGCCCGCAACCCAGGCGTGTGCCCTGAGCGGGAATGGAACTGTGACCTTCTGGGTTTATAGGCTGATGCTCAACCACTGAGCCACACAGGAATTCCTTCTTCCTTAGGAAAACCTCGGGCCTTTCCGTTGCGTGAGGATAGTCTCTTACTTAATGTCCACGGATGATAGATTTGAACTACATCTACCTCATTCCTAGGCAACACCTGGACTAGCATTTGGTCAGATAACGGGCAGAGCCCGCCACGTTGGCAGAAAGCTCCTCACAACACCCCAGCCCCCACCCCAAGCTGTGTGTTACCATCTGAGCCCTGTACGTTTCCCAGAGCCCAGGCACCCCAGAGATTTGTGAAATTAGTGAGAAGTGGTACTTGCCTTTTTCTCATTTTTCGGACAAGGAAAACCGAGGCTGAGAGAGGAAGGGAAGCACAGAGCTGCAGCGCGCTGGAGAGCCGCAGAGCAGGTGTCTGCTTCCAGTGCTCTCAGACATGCCCACCGTTTTACTCAGTTCCTTGCTTTCCTAGTCCCAGGCGCTGAGCAGTTGGATGCTTTCCCCACCTTGACATTTGGGCTAGAGGATCTAGCCAAGTATTGTAGGATGTTCACCGCCCGGGGTTGGGAGGCTGAATCGCAGCCTGGTGAGAACGGAAGACCATGCTGGCTGCACCACAGTGCAGTTTCCTGTCCGGAGGAGTGGGTGGCCAAACCTGGCTCCCTGCTCAGCCGATGGGAGACAGAGCCAGGCTGCTTCCCTGTTGTCCTCCCTTGGGTTGATGCACATGAGCTGACTGGGCACAAGGGGGCAGTAAAGGGCAACGACTGGAATGAGCTCTGTGCCAACTTCATTTAGACCCGGAGGGGGTCCTCTACCCCGCCTCAGTTTCCTCTTCTGTGGAACTGGCTTCTGCCTGCCTCAGGTGGCTGCTGTGAGGAGCAGAAAAGATCACATGCCCTGGGCATTCCCGCCTGGCACACACGAATGCCCTGTGCGTGGGTAAGTGACGATTCTAGCTGATTCCAGAACAGGCATGGCGACCTCCGACGCTGCAGGGTGTGGGGCAGGCAGCAGAAATGAGAGAAGGAGCTGGAAGAACATTCCAACACCCAGCCGAACAGGAGAGGCAGCCCGTCAGCTCCTGGTGGTGCCTGCCACGTGTAAGGGCAGATCTGATTCAAGAAAAGACAGAAAGCTGGGGTTTTTGTGTCAGATCTCTGATATCACAGCAAAAATAAGTTTTGAAGTGCTGTGTGGGCGAGATGGAACTAGAGGTGGTGCATCTGCCATCAGTCTGCCGTTTGGGGCCACCTTGCCCATTGGCAGTGTGTTCCCTGCACCCCAGGACCCTGGACCGAGTCCTGAGTCCGCAGCCCCATCCCTCCCCCATATTGAGAGCAAGAGGAACAGAGCAGTGCATACATTAAATGCCTCTTTAAGACCTTCTGACTTTATTACAATAGAAGCTTGCTTTTATTTAAAACCCACACACAACCAAAACCAGTTTGGCTCAGTGGATAGAGCGTCGGCCTGCGGACTGAAAGGTCCCAGGTTCGATTCCGGTCAAGGGCATGTACATTGGTTGTGGGCACATCCCCAGTAGGGGGTGTGCAAGAGGCAGCTGGTCGATGTTGCTCTCTCATCGATGTTTCCAACTCTATCCCTCTCCCTTCCTCTCCGTAAAATATCAATAAAATATACTTTTTAAATAAATAAATAAATAAATAAAAACACACACACAAAAACAAAAACAGTTGACCCTGGCCAGCAGGGTTTAGCAATTGAGCATTAACCTATGAACCGGAAGGTTATGGTTCAATTCCCAGTCAGGGCACATGCCCAGTGTGGGGCATGCAGGAGGCAGCCGACCAATGATTCTCTCTCAGCATTGATGTTTCTATCTCTCCCTTCCTCTCAAAATCAATTAAAAAAAACAACAAACAGTTGAGGTGAAATTCACATCACATAAAATTAACCCTTTTAAATGCACGAATTAGCGGCACTTGGTGCCCTCGCATGTTGCGCAGTCATCCCTTCTGTCTAGTTCCAAACATTTCTGTCACCCCAAGAAGGAGCCCTGTCCCCCTCAGCAGTGGCCTCCCACACACACCTTCCCCCAGCCCCTGGCAACCACTCACCCACTTCCTGTCTCGAGGTGTGCCTGTTCTGGACATTTCACATACGTGAATCACATACGAGGTGGCCTTTTGTGTCTGTTGTCTCTAACTTAGCATAAAGTTTTCGAGGTTTATCCATGTTGCCGCCTGAGTCCGTGCTTCCTTCCTTTTCGTGGCTGCATACTATTCCGTTGTGTGGCCATTGTTTATTCATTCATCGACGGATAGATATCTGAGTTGTTCCCACTTTTTGGCTGCTGTGAATCATGTTACTGTGAGCATTCGCGTGTGGGTTGTCTTCGTTTTCTTAGGGCTTCTGCTCTATTTTTGACCTCCGGGAGAGCAGGGCAACCTCTGATTCACCCTTTACCTCCAAAGCCCATCACAGCATCTGGAGGGGAGTGGTTACTAAACGAACACTCACTGCGTGGTGAATGGAAAAAAGGAGGGAGGGAGGAAAAGGAAGAAGCATGGGTAGGTCCCACCTTGCAAAGGGTACCAGGTCCTCACTGACAAGGAACAGAGGCGAGGGATAAAGAGTTTTTGAAAAAGAAAGGAAAGAGCATTATACTGTCCTTCCCAATCTAAACAGCCCCCCTTTCAGTTCCCTGATGGAAAGACAACATACATTACGTTCTCTGCAGGGAGCCCTCCGGCACTGGGCTCTCTGATGCTCTGTGCTGATGCACAGATGCATTTTGTGCGGACAATTCCCAGAGCTAAAAGGGCGCTGTTGTTGTTGTTGTTGTTGTTGTTGTCTGAACTCCATGCTCCGGCTGCGGGTTTCCGGTGCTTGGTGACGGATGCCGCCCTGGCCCGGTTCACAGGCCGCTCCGGGAAGAGACGGGGATGGACGCTCTCGGCAGCCCAGCAGAAGACACATCCTGTGAGTCTCCGCTCGTGCAGAGAGGGGTGCTCTGCCCAAGACCGTGGGAATGTCCGGGCTGTGGCTCCTGAGTGGCCCGTCGGGAAAGGGGGGTGTTCGGCCCCGAGGCCTGCCAGCGAAGCAGCTGTGGCGGGCAGGACACAGGTGGGCGCTGTCATGAAGTGGGCACAGTGGTGACGCTGAGTGTCCTTGAGCTGGTGACCCAACCTCTTTGTGCTTCCCGTTTCTCATTTACTAACTATGGGGAGTGAGCCCACCACACTGCGGGGTGCAGCTCCCACTGGGTCAGGGAGTGGAGAGGAGGAAAAAGAAAGAAAAAGCCCCCTGGTTCCCCGCAGCCCCTCCCAACACGCTGAACTTCAGCGGAGCCCACCGCAAGCGGAAGACCCTGGTCGCCCCGGAGATCAACATCTCCCTGGACCAGAGCGAGGGCTCGCTGCTGTCGGACGACTTCCTGGACACCCCCGACGACCTGGACATCAACGTGGACGACATCGAGACCCCCGACGAGACGGACTCGCTGGAGTTCCTGGGGAACGGCAACGAGCTGGAGTGGGAAGGTGAGGGAGCCCCGGGTACCAGGGGGACTCAGGATGGTCAGGGGGACTCAGGACGGCCCCGGCCTGGCCCCGCATCGCACTCGGCAGCCCCCTGGCTTCCGGGGCCAGCTCAGTGGAGCAGTTCCTCCATCCCCACAGGCTCAGGGAGGCAGGTACCCCAACTCAGGGCTCAGGGACACCCCCAGGTCCACCTGCCCCTGCAGCGCCATGATGTTTTCCTTGTAAACGTGGGCTGTTCAGGGGGACATTGTTCTCAGAGCTGACCGAGACCGGAAGACAGTGCCTCCAACTGGCCCCACGGGGTCTGCGAGGCATGTGCTCAGGAGCAGCTCTCAACTGGGACGCGGGGTGTGGAGGGAACACGGAAGGAAGAGAGGGTGCCGCCTGCACGCACGCTGGCCAGAGACAGGCGCTGGGGAGTGAAAGAAAGGAGGGCATAGCAGCTGCCATCAGAGCTATGAGCGACGCAGGGGAGGTGATGGCCTAGGGCAGGGGTCTCACCTGAGGGGTGATTCTGCCCCCCAAAGAACACTTGGCAATGCCTGGTGGCATCTATGGTTGTCACAACTGGAGGTGGAGACCAGGGGTGCTGCTCAACACCCCCAGTGCCCAGGACAGCCCCCCACAGAGAACGACCCAGGCCCACACCTCCCCAGTGCTCAGGGTGAGACCCCTGAGCTGGGATAACTGGGTGAGGGGGACTCAGGATGGTCAGAGCAGGGCTCTCTGGGGAGGTGTCAGCTGACCTGACATCTCAAGACAAAAGCACAGGTCAGGTCAGAGAGACGGTGGGTGGTGGCCCTGGGATGGGTGAGAGCCGCAGAGCCGCTGGGTGGGTGGGTGTGGAGCATAAAGGGAGGAAGGAGCCAACGGTGATGCCTGGGGATGGTGGGGCCTGAGGAGCTGGGAATCCAGCTGAGTTGCTTCCTGAGGCAGGAAGCCTGCAGGGCGAAAGGGTGGGGAAGAGGTGGATGTTTTAAGAGTGGCTGATGGCACACCTACACAATGGAATACTACGCTGCCACAAAAAGGAAGGAATTCTTACCATTTGCGGCAGCATGGATGGAACTGGAGAACATTATGCTAAGTGAAATAAGCCAGTGAATAAAAGAAAAATACCACATGATCTCACTGATTTGTGGATAATAGAGAACATTATAACCTGATGAACAACAAGACAGATACAGAGGCAGTAAAGCATCAAACAGACTGTCAGATTACAGCGGGAAGATTAGGGAGAGGTGGGGTAGATAAGAGATCAACTGAAGGACTTGTAAGCATGCACATAAGCATAACCAATGGATGCAAAACACTGGGGGGTAAGGGCATGTATGGAAGTGGGGTGAGGGGTGCAGTGGGAAAATATGTACACATGTAATACCTTAATCAATGAAAATTTTTTTAAATGATAAAAAATAAAAGTGGCTGAGCAGGAACGGTGCCCAGAGAGGGGAGGAAGGCATGCGAGGTCACATAGCAAGGTGCCCGCAGACCTGAGCTCTCCCCAGGCTGGCTGCCTGACACCCACCTGGGCACGTTCCTGTAGCCGAGGCTGGGAAAAGGTCATTTGAGTGTGACTGTCTGGCCGCCAGGCCCCTCATTCCCCCACCCCCGCAGCCCCAGGCTGGCACCACTGGTGAGTGAGGTGGAGGATACTGTTTTGCCTGTGGCCTGGGGAGGGGGCGGGCGGTGCTCGGCGGCCACAGGCAGCAGAGGGAGCTGGGAGGGGCTGGGACTAGACGTCACACTCAGGCGTCCCTTCCAGATGACACCCCCGTGGCCGCTGCCAAGAACATGCCCGGGGCCAGCGCCGACCTGTTTGGCGACGGCTCGGCGGAGGATGGCAGCGCCGCCAACGGGCGCCTGTGGCGGACGGTGATCATCGGAGAGCAGGAGCATCGAATCGACCTGCACATGATCCGGCCCTACATGAGGGTGGTGACCCACGGAGGTGAGGCCGCGCCCCGGGGCCCCCCTGACTCCAGCCGGGCGGCCCTCTGCACCCCGTCTCCTCAGGAGCCACGGGGAGCTGAGCTCCCGTCTCTGGGTGGGTGGGTGGGGGTGAAACTCGCATGAGGATGAGACCTGGGTGCCTGGGAGGATGGCTGGCGATCCCTACCAAAGGCAGAGACAGGTCAGGGGCACAGGGCGGCTCTGAGCTTGGAGCTCAGCGAGGGCTCTGCCCGTCTCCGCCTGGGCGCTCACTGGCCGCCTCCCCCAGGGTACTACGGCGAAGGTCTCAGCGCCATCATCGTCTTTGCTGCCTGCTTCCTCCCAGACAGCAGCTCTCCCGACTACCACTACCTCATGGAGCACCTCTTCCTGTAAGCGGCCGCCCTCCCGAGGGTCCCGGCAGCGGGCTGGACCGGCTGTGAGGGCCACGTGGGGAGGGGGCTCTGCCTGGCGCCGGGCAGGGGCTGGGCCGCCAGCAGACCTGGATCTGAGGTCCCTGCTCACCCACGGGGCCTCATCCGTGCAATGATGGCCGCCATCGTCACCGTCGTGTACTCAGTACTCACTGTGTGGCCGCCTCGAGGCCACGAGCTGCGTACGTGGTAACGCATTCCATCCTCGCCGTTACCCTGCGGGGCAGGCGCACACCATTCCACGGGGCCAGAGTCTGGGGCACAGACCGTAAGTCACTTGCCCAAGGACACTCCGGTACCGTCTCATTACGACGGAGACAGATCATACGTGTAAAGCACCCGGCAGATGGCAGGCAGAGCTCAGTCAGTCATGATTGCTCACTGTCCTTATCAGGAAGGTTTCCTTCTTACACAGCGGGACCTGGTGCCAGGGGGGCCAGAGGAGGAGGGGGTACCTGTGGATGAGGGGGTACCTGTGGATGAGGGGGTACCGGTGGATGAGGGGGTACCTGTGGATGAGGGGGTACCTGTGGATGAGGGGGTACCGGTGGATGAGGGGGTACCTGTGGATGAGGGGGTACCGGTGGATGAGCGGGTACCGGTGGATGAGGGGGTACCTGTGGATGAGGGGGTACCTGTGGATGAGGGGGTACCGGTGGAAGGTCAGAACAGGAAGTGGCCTGAGAGGCCAGGGAACCCAGCCCCCCAAATTACAGACGGGAACGGAGAGGCTGAGAGAGGGAAGGATTTTTTTTTCTCTTCTTTTTAAAAAAAATATATTTGTATTGATTTTTTACAGAGAGGAAGGGAGAGAGATAGAGAGTTAGAAACATCAATGAGAGAGAGTCACTGATCAGCTGCCTCCTGCACACCCCCTACTGGAAATATGCCCACAACCAAGGTACATGCCCTCGACCGGAATCTAACCTGGGACCCTTCAGTCCACAGGCCGACGCTCTATCCACTGAGCCAAACCGGTCAGGGCAGGAAAGGATTTTCTGAAATCCCTGAGAGAGAGACAGAGCAGCCAGGAGGACCCCAGGCTCCTAATATCTGGTGCCAGCAACTGCCCACTGTGGGTGCCTGTTCTCCAGCTCTGTCTGGGGCTATGGAGACCCATCCGCAGAATCAGTGGAGATAGTAAGTGAAGTCATGCATATAAAGCATGGCACATAGTAAGTGCTCAATTAAATAGTAACCGCTGTGCTCACTATACTCACTGACACAAATCTGGGGTGGGCTAGTGTTAATCACATCCACCCCCCTGGAGTGTGCTGGGACAACAGGTGAGGCTGGCCCAGCCGGGCAGGGGGGGCACAGGTGCTCAGTCCCAGGACCTGGGGCTTTCTAACTCGGACCGCTCTCACCGGGCGTCTGTCCTGTGCCCCGGGCCCAGGTACGTCATCAGCAGCCTGGAGCTCCTGGTGGCGGAGGACTACATGATCGTGTACCTGAACGGGGCCACCCCCCGGCGGAGGATGCCCGGCATCAGCTGGCTGAAGAAGTGCTACCAGATGATCGACAGGAGGTGAAGGGGCGGGGCGGGGAGGTGGAGGGGCGGGGCGGGGCCCGCCTCTGGTGCCAGGCCCCCTCCCCCAGCGGGGCTGGCTCGGGAGGGAGAATCGGGAGCCCGGAGGCAGCATCTGCTCCATGCTCCCCCAGCTTCTAGGGTCGCTGGCAATCCTCGGTGTCCCTTGGTTCGTAGATGCCTCACCCCAATCTCTACCTTCATCTTCCCGAGTGTGGGTCCATGTCTTAAAGGTCCTCTTTTCTTTCTTCTTCTTTTTTTAAAAAAATATATGTTTTTATTGATTTTTTAGAGAGAGAGGAAGGGAGAGGGAGAGATTGAAACATTGATGACTGAGAAACATCACCATTTTTTTTTAATGTATATTTTTATTGATTTTTTTACAGAGAGGAAGGGAGAGAGATAGCTAGAAACGTCGATGAGAGAGAAACACCGACCAGCTGCCTCCTGCACACCCCCTACTGGGGATGTGCCCGCAACCAACGTACATGCCCCTGACCGGAATTGAACCCGGGACCTTTCAGTCCGCAGGCCGACGCTCTACCACTGAGCCAAACCGGTTTCGGCAACTGTCCTCTTTTCACAAGGACACCACTAACCATGGGTTAGAGGCCCACCCTGCTCTGGTCTGACCTCCCCTGACATCATTCCATCTGCAAAGACCCCGTTTTCCAGAGAGTGTCCCCTTCTCGGGACCTAGGGGCTATGAATTTGGAAGCGGGGAAGGGGGATGCAATCCAACATGACAAGTTAAAATTGCTCAGACTCTAATTTAGGAGAGGGACAGCGCCGCCACTTGCAAACTCCACCGAGGGGCTTGGCTTTCCCCAGACTCTGCCTTCTCCCAGTGAGGTGGCGGCGCCTCCAGGGAGCACGGAGGAGGCAGCCCCTCCTCCCCAGGGCTGGCCCCAGGAGCCCCTCTTGCTTCCCCCGCCTTCCCACGCAGGTTACGGAAAAACCTGAAGTCCTTGATCATCGTCCACCCGTCCTGGTTCATCCGCACCGTGCTGGCCATCTCCCGCCCCTTCATCAGGTGAGATTGCCACCTGCCTCCGGATACCGCGTGGGTGGTGTCTTTCTTTTTAATCTGCATTTCCCAGCTCCTCCGTGCTCAGGGCGTGTTATTAACTTACACTCTTTTCAATCGCGGGCGTTGTTATTAAGCGGCAAACACGAGAAAAATAATAATCAGCTCTCCCATATTGAATAATAATAATAATCAATCATCCCATATTGAATGTGGGATCCCTTTTAACATTTAACCCTGAGACGCTGGTGTAAACCATGTACATTTCACGGAGGAGGAAACTGAGGCTCAGAAAGGTCAAGGAACTCACCCAGAGTCACACAGCAAGGCCACTAGCCCCCCCCACTCCCCGAGACGGGAGCCCAGCTCCATTCACTCCAGAATTTGTGGAGGAGCCATTTAGGATGGCCAGAGGGTCTGACCTACTCCTGGCCAATAATTCAGTGAACCAGCACGTGCGCCCCTGCTTGGGATCAATGCTTTACCAAAAGGACTCACGGGACCCAGAAGAGCTGTGATACCCCTGGTTCCGGCTTATTGCTGCGCAAGGATGAAGGTTAAAATTGGCAAAGGAAACCGGTGCCTGTGGGAGTCTAGGAAAAACCGGAAATGAGCTTCCAGTTAGTGAGCCCCTCCCAGTTGTGCCCAAAGTCCTTCTCCCAGCAAGCACAGGTGACAGCTAGGCAGCTCGCCTTGGTGTCCAGGGTTTCCCCGGCTGAGTCACACGGGAACGGAGCACCAGGTGGCCGAACTCACTGCGACTCCAGAGATCACATTGACATCACATGGCTCAAGGCCCCCGCTGAACACACCACTGGCATAGACTACACGGCAGGATTTGAGGCCCCTGACACTCTTACCAGGCAGGACAATTCTGAGCTTGTAGCTGATCTCCCACGAAGTACCAAGAGCCAGTTCTCTGCAATGTGCAGGGTTTGGGTCCTCCAGGCCTTGTGGGCTCGCCCTGGGCTGCACGAGATAGAAGCACCTGGAAAAACAGAGCAAGCAAAACAAAATTTGGCGTGTTACATACCTTAGTCAATCACATCAAACCGAATGTACACTTAACTTAATGTCATGCCGAACATTGAACTGAGCCAAAATCCTTCATTTCCACATTTCCCAACTAAGAATCTGTGATGTGTTTAAGAGTTGGGCCCAGCCCAGCCAGCGTGGCTCAGTGGTTGAGCGTGAACCTAGGAACCAGGAGGTCACGGTTCAATTCCTGGTCAGGGCACATGCCAGGTTGTGGGCTCAATGCCCAGTGTGGGGTGTGCAAGAAGCAGCCGATCCATGATTTCCATCATGGATGTTTCCATCTCTTTCTCTCCCTCTCCCTTCATCTCTGAAATTAGAGAGAGAGAGAAAGAGAGAGAGAGAGAGAGAGAGAGAGAGAGAGAGAGAGAGAGAAAGGAAGGAAGGAAGGAAGGAAGGAAGGAAGGAAGGAAGGAAGGAAGAAAGAAAGAAAGAAAGAAAGAAAGAAAGAAAGAAAGAAAGAAAGAATAAAGAGTGGGGCCCATACTTTGCCTTGAAGGATTTGCAAGGAGGTCACTTCAGACACTCTGTGCTCAAGGACTCATAACAGTGAGAGCAGGTGAATAACACACTAACTATGGATCATTTGTGCTAATGAACCCACTGGGCAAAACGGAACAGCCTTCTGGCCTCCATATCCCATCATCCAAGGCAGATCGTTCATTCACTCGGTTGCTATTCCCATGGCAAAGTTTGAGGATCTTGTTTTGAGCTTTCAAAGAAAAAAAAGGGGAGCCAAAGCCGGTATGCTCAGTGGATAGAGCATCAGCCTGCGGACTGAAGGGTCCTGGGTTCGATTCCGGTCAAGGGCATGTACCTTGGTTGCGGGCACATCCCCAGTGGGGGGTGTGCAAGAGGCAGCTGATCAATGATTCTCATCAATGTTTCTAACTCTCTATCCCTCTGTCTTCCTCTCTGTGAAAAATCAATAAAATATTTTTAAAAATAAAAAAAGAGGGGAGAGGGAGAAAAAAGCTGAGGAAAGTGGTCCTGGCCAGTGTGGCCCAGTTGGTTGGACATGATCTGGGGCACTAAAGGTTACAGGTTCAATTCCTGGTCACGGCCTGGGTTTCGGGCTGGATCCCAGAAGGGCGTGCAAGAGGCAGCCAAGCTATACTCTCACATCAGTGTTTCTCTCTCCCTCTTCCTTCCTCTCTCTTCAAAAGTCAATTTTAAAAATCTGTAACAGGAAAGCTGAGGAAAATGGAGACCAATTCTGACCTGCATCCAACCCTGAGGTTCTGTGATTAAATTTCCAAGAAAACCCCGTGTTCCGTGCTCATCAAAGGCTGGGGATGTGCTGCCACTGAGCTGGGATTCTCCCCTGTGACAGCGCTCCCCCTCCCCCGCCCCACGCGAGGCAGAAAGCTCAGCTCACAGGCAGGCAGTGGCTCACAGCGGAGATGCGGGTATCTGTTTGCAGTGATGGGCATGGTGGGTGGGACCACACCCGCATGACATAAGTTTTGCCTGTATTTTTAGACCAGCACTCAGAGCAGCAGGTGTGGGCTCTGAGCACCACAAAGAAATCCTTCCTAACAAATCCAGTCAGTCCGCCCCGAGCCTGCGGAACCCGGGCATATTCAGGCACAGAGCAGACAACCCTGGTGAGACGGGTGGGGACACGATTGCTGCCTGGGTCTGAGGTTCGCTCTCTACCTATTCACCCTTTACCCTCTGCCACGCCAACTGGAGGGAGGCCTCATGCTGTGAGGATAATTTTTGTTGTTGTTGTTAAAATATATTTTACTGATTTTTTACAGAGAGGAAGGGAGAGGGAGAGAGAATTAGAAACGTCGATGAGAGAGAAACACTGATCACCTGCCTCTTGCACACCCCCTACCGGGGATGTGCCCGCAACTAAGGTACATGCCCTTAACCTAGGGGTGTCGAACTCAATCAGAGAAGGGGCCAAAATCTAAAATCCAGCCTAAATCGCGGGCCGAATGGTTTACTGAACAGTCATAAACTGTCATTGTGATGGAAACGCAGCGGAGTGCAGTGATGACAGCGCGGTGCGGGCCACATTGCAAGGCCTGGCGGGACGGATTTGGCCCGCGGGCCTTGTGTTTGACACATGTGCCTTAACCGAATCGAACCTGGGACCTTTCAGTTCACAGGCTTATGCTCTATCCACTGAGCCAAACCGGTTTTGGCGAGAATAATTTTTTTAATAAAAAAAAAATGCATTTGAACTGCAGGAAAGCAGTTGGCATTGTTCATCCCGGTACACAAGGCTGCCCTGTGACTCCCCAAGGGAAAATTCTGTCTTTCCCAATCAGTTACCAGGGGCCTCTGCGAAGAAACTGCTTTATTTTTCCCTGTGGGCACTGTGAGCTGCAGAGCTCACCTCTGAGTGCCAGAGAGCTGGAACTGAAATGTTTAAAAAATATATTTTATTGATTTTTTTTTACAGAGAGGAAGGGAGAGGGAGAGAGAGTTAGAAACGTCGATGAGAGAGAAACATCAATCAGCTGCTCCCTGCACACCCCCTACTGGGGATGTGCCCGCAACCAAGGTACATGCCCTTGACCGGAATCAAACCTGGGACCCTTCAGTCTATTGGCCGGTGCTCTATGATATAAATCTTGATACTCTTGTAGACCTATCGCTGTATCTTTTTTATATTATTATTATTATTGTTTTCTTCTGTTTATTGTTTATTTTTAAATTTATTATTTAGCAAACTTTTAAAAAAATTTTTATTGATTTCAGCGAGGAAGGGTGAGAGAGAAAGATAGAAACATCAATGGAAAAAAAAAATCAATGATGAGAGAGAATCATTGATTCACTGCCTCCTGCATGCCCCCCACCGGGGATTCAGCCCGCAACCCAGGCATGTGCCCTTGACCAGAATCCAACCCGGGACCCTTCAGTCCGCAGGCTGACGCTCTATCCACTGAGCCAGACCAGCTGGGGCTGTTTTCTTCTTTATTGTGCTGTTGTATTCTCTTGGCCTTACATTTCACATTGTTAAAATATTTTCTTTTCCCTTGGGAAAAAAAAGTATATTTTACATATCACCAAAACTAGATTTAAGTTGAAAAAATACATTTTAATAACGGTGAGTTCAAAGCAGCATGCTGGTGACAAAGCAGCCTGCGTCCGGGTTTGGCCAGGAAGAAGCCATTCATCCTGAAAGAATGGAGGGTGAATCACAGTCCCACGCTGCCTTTCTGCGCCCGTGACAGCTGGTGTCCCCAGCAGGGACGAGGGCCAGGAAAGCGTTCTTGGGAAAAGGAACGCAGAGGAGCATTCTTAGGTGGATAAAGAGAATGCTCAGTCTATTAGGACCTCTTGCCTCTTTGTTTCCTTTAACAAGCGCCTCAGCTTGGTGGGGGTTAGGGCCAGGACCCTTCTCCTCTTGCCAGGGAGACCCCGGGCCTTGCTCTGTCTACCCCACTAGGGGCAGAGGGTGGCGACTGGCAGAGGGTGGGGAGGGAGATTTGAGCGAAGGTGCTCAGGGCATCCTCGAATTGGGTTATTCTGGCTCCGGGTGACCACATCTCCTCCTGGCAGCGTCAAGTTCATCAACAAGATCCAGTATGTGCACAGCTTGGAAGAGCTGGAGCAGCTCATCCCCATGGAACATGTGCAGATCCCGGACTGCGTGCTACAGTGAGTGTCCCCATGCCCTGTGAGTGCCCCCACCTGCACCCTCAACGCCCCCAGGCTCCTCAGGTTCCCACTCAGCTGCCCAAGAACCAGGAGTGAGCGGGAGAGCAGCAGGACCGAGGGAACCAGTGAACAAACACGTGTGAAATTGGGAAGTACAGTGGGCCCGGGGACTTAGTGCTAGGCAGGGCCAGCACAACACAGCCCACAGCTTGTTTTTATAAATAAAGTTTTATTGGCACTCAGCCACACTCATTTTTTAACAGATGGCCTAGGGCTGTTTTCAAGCTCACCGGAATTGAGTTGGTGCAACCAAGACTGGCCTGCAAAGCTGAAAACAGTTACTCTCCGGCCCTTTACAGAAATATTTTGCCCCAATGGAGGGGTGTGTAGACCTACCCACATCAGTGAGTGTGTTGCTTTATCACGGCCCAGTTCAATCACTGGGTCAGGCCAAATGTCTGCTGAGTCGCATCAACACCAGGTGCTGGGATACATCAGCAATACAGACCCTCCTTGCCCCGGGGGCTTGCAAAGCAGCTGCAGGAAACGTAGAAAGGCAGCAGGTTGCCCCCTGCGGCTGTACTTTCTGCTCTGAAGCCTGGTGTGCGTTCAGAATGCCCCCGGGCAGTGTGCGGATGGGGAAGGAGGGCTGTCTGACAGGCTGCTCCCCCTCTCTTCCAGGTACGAAGAGGAAAGGCTGAAGGCCAGGAGAGAAAGGTCTGTTAGAGTGGCCCTGTCCGGGCTGGGTGGGGGCTGGCGCTGAGCTGGGCCTGCGTGTGGGGAGCAGCCAATGGCTTTGGCTCTGCAGGGACCAACGTCACACTAGAGGCCCTGCACTTCCCAGGGAGAACGTGGGATCAGACCCGAGTTCAAATCCAGATTTCCCTACTGAGTCACAGAATGACATTAGGCAGATACAAAGTTCACAGTGAGCTTGGGGGTTACAGTGAAAAATCAGGAGCAGTGTAGCCCACTTGCAAAAGTGGTGGGCTCATGGTAATCTACACTAATAAAAGTAACATGCTAATTGACTGTACCTCGTGGCACCCACCAGCCAATCAGGAGTGAGTATGCACATTAACCCAACCAAAGATGGTGGGTTAATTTGCATACACAGACACGAGGATGCAAGTGTCCCACTCCACCTCGGGCTGCCCTGGGCCACTGAGCAGCGTGGGAAGGCGGAGAGGCAGCTCCGGCCAGAGTGAAGGCGGTGCTGGCAGCCAGGGGAAGGGAGGCCCATTCTTGCACCAATCTTTGTGCCTCGGGCCTCTAGACACAATGATATCTATTAAGGTCTCCCTTTACAGAGGAAACACAAGCCCCACACTCACCACAACAGGCCCAGACATGCCCATTTCATACCTTATTGGCTCATGTTTCATTATAAGATCCAGTATGTCACAGACCTTCAAGACTGTTCTGGTCCCACCCAATCACAGTGCCCTTACTTAGCCCCTCGCCTGGATACTTTCACATCCCTTGCCCCTCAAAAGCCAGGCAAGCCCAGGACACACAGCATCTTACAGCCCGGGTATGTGAGGCTCAGAGAGGGCAAGGTACCTGCTCATGGCCACACAGCAAATCTGTGAGAGAGTTGGGCTTCCCACAGGCGGGAAGCATGTATCATTGCCTGGCTCTGTGCTAGGATCCAGGGACCCAGAGGCGACTGAGAGAGATTCCTGGTCCAGGAGTCTCTTTAAACGGCAAAAAAGAGGGGCCCCTCACGCAGTGAGGGAAGCGGGGCCTGGAGTCAGGGCAGGGTGACGTTGTACTCCTCCTACCTGCCAAGCTTTAGCCATGAACAGGAATAGAGACTAACACAAGCAGGACACCCACCACCTCTGGCATCTAGCACAGGGGAGCCAGCATCCGTGGAGCCCGTGCATAGAAGCCTCTGGGGGATTCGCCAAGATAAACGCTCAGAAGGAATGGTTCAGGGTCTTCGCCCCTCCCCCGCCCCCCTCCCTCACAGCTGCCTCATCTTCATTAACCCCTGCGACACCACTCCTCACCACCCTCCCGGCCCCGAATTTCCTGGGGGCAGCAAAAACCTCCCTGCTCTCAGGCCCCCGTGGGAGCCGAGATCCCCCTCCATCCAACCGCCTCGTCATCCCTGTCTCCTCTCTGTGTCCCCAGCGCCAGGCCGGAAGAGAGGCCGGAGGCGGCGCCCGCGGAGCACAGGTAAACTGGCCGGTGACCCCGGAGAGAGCTGACGCCCGCCGGCCCGCCCGGCCACCAGAACGGCCGGTAAAAGTGGTCAGGGTGTTAGCGTGTTCCCAGGATCCCGATGTTACCAGGATGACGAAGCACAAACGGGCATGGACCAGCCAGCAGGATGCTTACCCCACCCCCACCCCCACCCACGTAGAGGCTCCATGTTGGGGTCACTTTTCCCTCCACCCTGAGCTGTCCCATCTGGGGCCACTTGCAGAGGCCGCTATTTAAATGTAAACGAATGAACAGTAAATAACATTTGGAAGCTCGCTCCTCCGTCTCCCTGGCCACGGGTCAGGGCTGAGGGCTCCTGTGCTGGACAGCGTGGAAACAGAACGTGCTACTTGCCGGCATAAGGCCCTTCCCTTCTGGGTTCTCCTCACTCGTTTATTTTTAATTGAGGTGAAACCCACAGAGCATCCAATGAGCCATTTTAAAGCACACCATTTAGCCCCGCCTGTGTAGCTCAGTGGTTGACCATCGATCTATGAACTGGGAGGTCACGGTTCGATTCCCAGTCAGGGCATATGCCCAGGGTTGTGGGCTCGATCCCCACTAGGGGGTGTGCAGGAGGCAGCTGATCAGTGGTTCTCTGTCATTATTGATGTTTCTGTCTCCCTCTCCCTCTTCCTCTCTGAAATCAATAAAAATATTTTTTAAAAAAATAAAAATAAAGTACACCATTTAGTGCATTCAGTACCTCTCCTAGTTCCAGAACCTCCCATTAGCCCAGCGGGAGACCCTTAAGCAGTCACTCCCGTTCCTTCCCTACCCCTTCCTATTTTAAAATCCACCAAATATCTACGGAATGAGCGCCTCGCCCAGGGACGTGTAGACAAATGGCCTGGCCCAGCCCCTCCCTCGCCCCTGGAAGTCCTTCCCACGTTTCCTGTCTCTGTCGGGTCTGCCTCCTGCACATGACCCTGGTGAGACCCCCCTTCTCTTGCCCTCGAGGTCCCCAAGGGCAGTGGGTCTATCTTGGGACCATTCCCTCCTCTTCCCTGTATCCAGCACAAGCCAAGCACAGGGACCACGGGCAGTGAGGCCACTGGGAGACCGAGTTTTGCTCTCAGAGGAAGATCTCAGTAGGTGACCTCTGTGCCAGTCCCTGTGGCTGTGTTTGGCCTCTCCAGACCCGGTGGGTCCCGAGCAGCATCAATGGCTTTGCTTTGTATCAGTGAAGGCCTCGGCCCATCGCCTCACTACTGCCTGTCCTGGCTCATTTGTCATGCAGCAGACACACGCTGACACTGGCTTTGTCCCCGATGAAGCTGAGGCTGGGTCAGCCCTCATGGGGCTCCCAGGCAAATGCCCAGGCTTTCCCAAATAGACAAGCAATGCTAAGACTCCTTCCCTCTTCCACAGGTCCGCTCCGGCCACAGAAGATCAGGAAACAAGGTGGGTAGGAAGCAGGGCGGTCTTGGCGCCTTTTTTTGAACGTTCTGAGTGGAGCCCACCCCAGCCGAAGGGCACAGGTCTGCCCACAGCCACCTCAGTGTGCTGCTGGGTTCTGGATGCCAGCAAAGCCTACTCGGGGTCAGGGTCCTGAAGACCACCCTCAGGTTCAGTGGTTTGCGAGAACGACTCAGAGCTCAGCAAAGCTGCTCTGCCCGTGGTGACGGTGACGGCTTACTCCAGGGGAAGGATGGAGTCAGGTGCAAGGCAGCAACAGGACAGCCCTTCATTCTCCCGTAAAAATGTGGGCGACACACAGTGTTACCAACCGGGGACACTCACTGGAGTTTCCGGGCTCAGTCACACGCACAGCCGACTGCCCTTCCTCTCCAGCCTCTCCAGAGGTCACGCTGACACCTCCCACCCTAAATTCCACTGTTAGCACACCCCTGGTCGGCAAACTGCGGCTCTCGAGCCACATGCGGCTCTTTGGCCCCTTGAGTGTGGCTCTTCCACAAAATACCACGGCCTGGGCCAGTCTATTTTGAAGAAGTGGCGTTAGAAGAAGTTTAAGTTTAAAAAATGTGGCTCTCAAAAGAAATTTCAATCGTTGTGTTGTTGATATTTGGCTCTGTGGACGAATGAGTTTGCCGATCACTGGCCTAGACTACCAGACACGAGGCAAGGCCCCAGGTAAGCAAAGTCTCTCCTATCAGGCAGGGCCTTCCCAGGACTCAGAGGTGGCCTCCTAGGAGCCAGGCAGGAGCCACACTTTTCCTTGGAAAAGGAAAGGGTTAATCCTTGACCACACCTTCTCCCACATCTGTGACAAGGCTGGGACACTTGCCCTGATGCTACGCAGGTGACACAAGAAGCCCCCCCCGCTAAGAAATAAACACCAGAAACAACCTTAGACCAGTACTGCCGAGGGGATACTAAGTGAATGCAAGTTCACAATGCATTTTTTAAAAGATCATCTCAGTCCATGCCTTCTGGAGACATAACACACACAAGGAAATCAGCCACCATGAGAGTGAGTCGGCAGATCCAATAATCAACAGAATTAGACCCCCTTCCTGGGTATCCTCAGGTAGAAAGGATTAAAGACACAAAAGAAGGAATTACACAGAGTGACAGATGAATGGACAGACAGGTGGGTGGGTGGTTAAATGGGTATGTGGATGGACGGATGAGTGAGTGGATGGATGGATGGATGGATGGGGGACAGGGTTGGGGGTAGATGGGTTGAAGTTTCCCTCCAGTCTGATTGGAAGCACCAGCTCTGAGGTTTGTTCTGCTGGGGCACCAAGAGAGAGGTCCCCTTCAGAACCATACTTGAAAAGTCGGTAGCAGATGGCAGGGTGTTGCCAAAGCCAGATTAGATCATTCTTTTGGATTCCAAGTACATAGGACAGTAGTTCTACTTTCTTTAAAAATAATAATAGGCCTAACCAGTTTGGCTCAGTGGAAAGGTCCCAGGTTTGATTCTGGTCAAAGGCATGTACCTTGGTTGCAGGCACTCCCCAGCAGGAGGTGTGCAGGAAGCAGCTGATCGATGTTTCTCTCGCATCAATGTTTCTAACTCTATCTCCCTCTCTATAAAAAAAAAAATCAATAAAATACATTTTTAAAAATAAATAATAATAATAGAGAGCGTTTGAGAGTGTGCTTCCCAGCATATGTCATCAACTCTTATAAAAATTCAAATAAAATACAATTAATAATAACGTGGCCTGTGTTTTCCCCTCTCCAGCATGTCCTGAGGTGATGAGAGAACAGAGAAGAACACAGAAGAAAATACCAGATGCCAAGAAACCTCTGTCCGATGCCCTCTGGCCCTGGATCTCATCCCACCTCATCCTGAGTCCCAGTCCTCGAGGGTGCCTGTCTCCTCCACCATCTCTGAAACCCAGCATCCTTCTTAGCTGCTTGAAAACATTTTTTTTTAATGATGCAGTAGAAATGCATTCTGGGAAAGAATCCAGTTCTCAGCCCTCCACCTTTCCAGACTCATGAGCTCACAGCCAAGAAGAGAGAGAAGCACAGGGCGTGGCCCGTGTGTCTTCTGGCCACAGAGCCCCAGCCCACTCCACAACGTCCCGGTTTAAGGCCCTTCTCTTGCTTGACCTGGACCAGGTGGGAGCCATAGATGCCCCCCGGCTCCCTGGCCAGATCTGGAATTCGTTCTTGTGCCTTTCCTCCCAGAATGGCTCCCGTAATCCTGGGCATCTGGCCGGGAAGCTCAGCCCCCCAACAGAGCTGTGCCCTGGGCACCTCCAACCTCACGGCTTTCTGTTTGACTGGCCCCCTTCTCCCCCTCTGTCATCGACGAGGGAGCACTGGGGCCCACAGCACAAGTGAAGCTGCCACCGGTCATCCTTGTGGCAGTCACACACCCTCTCAGTCCAGAACTTTCTCCAGCCCCTTCACTGCACATGCCACGCCCCAGGGCCACCGACCCGTCCCTCCAAAGGGAACGCGCAGTTCCCACTTCTCCAACCCCCCAGCACGGAGTTGGGGTGTGCCCCGTGGGTTCCCGCCAAGGGCAGAGGCCGAGAAGCCGACTCTGAAACGGGCTCATCCTGGAAACACAGACCAAGAAAGAGGAAGAAACAGGGTGTTGGTGTTGCTTTGTTTTGAAGGTCACCTGGGGACGTACGTTCCAGTGGGCTGGATGCTCCAGCCACCTGTGCTCAGAGGAGACAGACTTCTGAATTGTGGTCCAAACACCGGTCAGGTGGCCTCTAGCGGTAGTGAGTTCCCCGTCTCTGGAAGTATTTAAGAAAAAGCGGGACTATGCTTGCAGGAAATGGTCCTCTGTGCCCCCTCCAGTCCTAAGAGTCTCTATTTCTGTGAATCTGGGCAAAAGTTGGGCAGACACACACCCCGGGCCCCTGTTTCTGGCTCTGTAGCTGGCTTCTTAGCTGGTTGTCATTGAGGTTCAGTTGAACCAGCCCAGTTTCCGAGAATGAGGTTCTCGGCCTCAGTGGAAATGTCTGATGCTTCTCGGCCTGGCATGGCAGGGGGTTGCGTGTGGAGTTATCCCAACAACAAGAGGGAGCTGGTGGCATTTGGCACTAAGAAAAGGGATGCCCAGCGCTTTGCCACATCAAGGAATTGTCCCAACGCCAGCAGCTCCTGCCTTGGAAAACGCCAGGTTCCTGAGCTGCTTTGGGCCTGCGTGTTCTGGGACCCAGCATGGCCCTCGAGAGGCCAGGACGTGTGGGGGCCCCGTGGGGTTTTTGATTTGTAGCTCTGCTCTCTTTCCCGGATGTCACATAACGGGCAGGGACCTCGTTCGGGGCCAGGTGCAGCACCTGGAGCCTGAGGCGGCAGGGGTTGGGGATGGGCCTCTCTAGGCCGCCCGCCCGGCGAAAGGCCCTCTGTCCCAGGCCCTAAGCGCAGGTTCAGGTGGGCAGCCTTGCTCATCTGAGACCGACCTGGTCCTGAAAGGCCCAAACTCCCACCCCAGTGAAGGCAGTAGCGCCTGGAAGGCCGGTGCCTTGCTGTAAGGGGTGGGGGCGGAGGGGGAGAGCCAGGGATAGGAAGCGATTCATCCTACCCAATCCCAGGATCAGTAAATGCCTGCAGAGGCTACAGACCAGTGGTTCTCAGCCTTCCTAACACCGCGACCCTTTAATACAGCTCCTCCTGTCGTGGTGACCCCAACCATAAAATTATTATTATTTTTTAATATACTTTATTGATTTTTTACAGAGAGGAAGAGAGAGGGATAGAGAGTTAGAAACATCGATGAGAGAAACATCAATCAGCTGCCTCCTGCACACCCCCCACCGGGGATGTGCCCGCAACCAAGGTACGTGCCCTTGACCGGAATCGAACCCGGGACTTTTCAGTCCGCAGGCCGACACTCTATCCACTGAGCCAAACCGGTTTCGGCCATAAAATTATTTTCGTTGCAACTTTATGACTGTAATTTTGCTACTGTTATGAATTGTAATGTAAATATCTGTTTTCCCCGACCCTGCTAGCAGTTCTCAACCTGTGGGTCGCAAACCGCTGCTGTAGAGCCTAAGACCATCGGAAAACACAGATATTTACATTAGGATTCATTAACAGTAGCAACATTACAGTTATGAAGTAGCAGAGAAAATAATTTTGTGGTCGGGGGTCACCACATGAGGAGCTGTATGACAGGGTCGTGGCATTAGGAAGGCTGAGAACCACGCTCTAGTCGGACAAAGGAGCTGACCCCATCAGCCCTCCAGGACTCTGCAGGCTAAAGATTCCGGCCACTCAGTCCGACAGGTTCGCCGTGGTCTGCCGCCGCGCCTCCGGCCACCAGCACCACAGACAACCACTGGGCAAGCAGAACCAAGGACCCCAACTCGGCCACAGCTGTCCTTCCAGGACAGAGCGAGCCCTGAGCAGGCCTCTCCCCGCCGGCCACTGGCGCAGGTGTGAGAAGTTCTGCAAACGGCCGCCCGTCCAGCCACGCTGCTGCCCCTCCCTCTGAACTGGCTTCGGGAAAGATTTGTTTCTCTGGGGCAGTTTGGGCCCAGATGCAAAGGACCCGGATCCCTTGTCATGAAGGAACAGTGAACGGACTCTCCCTAAGCCCTGTCCCAAAGTCAGTGTCCACACGCCATCCTCCCCATGGCAAGTTTTGCGGTTTTTAAAGATAAAAAAACAATTCATTATGGTTACTGTTGTGATGTGAGAACATCATTTCCATAAACTTGGGGGGATTTTTATGTGAAATAAACTATAACTGAGAACAGAAGTTTCTAGTTTTGCCTATTTCTAAGGGCTGTGGCTCTTGCCGGTCTTGGGTGAGTTTCAGAGAAGAAAATTTCAACAGCTCCATGCCCTGGGTGACCTTGGGTGACCTTGAGCCATCATCTGTCCTGTGTGGCTTCCAGCTGTAGAGGGGGGGCAATGGATTATTCCCAATGCCCCTTCTGACTCTGCCTCTCTGGGATTCAAGTTCATTTCCTGCCCCTAATCCTTTCTGGAATCCAACCCAGTCAGCAGTTAATACTAATAATTAATACTATTAATAATAATATATTAATTATATATGCATGAATAATTATACATCCTATTAATTACTATAGCATCATTATCATTATTATTACTGCTACTGGATGAGAAAACTGTTTCCTCTCTACACTCAACACCAACCCTCTGACATGAGATGTAGGGCTTTTCCCCGCACCAAGCAATTCTCCAGTTATTGGCAGACACCAGCTGAATGTCCTATAACTTAACTTAATTCTGACACTGCTCAGAGGTAGTGCAAACCCCACAATTATCCCATCAGAAGCCGATCAAAAGTAGCGGGTGTCCAGGTTACCCACACTTCTGTCCCATTGGCCACAAACCTGGTTCCCATACATCCCCCACTTCCGGTTTGACCATCGGCTGTAGCAGTTCACAGAACTCGGGAAAACAGTTGACTCGCCAGATGAGCAGTTTTTATAAGGACGGGAGCTGGGGAACAGCCAGACGGCAGAGGCGCACGGAGCCAGGTTTGGGGAAGGGCTGCCGCTCCGGGCACGTGGCTGTGCTCACCCACCCGGAGGCGCCCCAGCCCCTTCACTTAGGGTTTCTGTGGCGGCTGCGTCACACCGGTGGGCTGACTGAATCACTGGCCTTCGGTGATTGACTCAATCCCCGGCCCCTCTCCCCTGAAAGCTCCACCCTCTACCGTACGCTGCCCCCCACCCCCACCCCCGGCCATCCGCCCCGCCCCCCTGCGGTCCCAGGGCCTTCCCAAGGCCACAGCCTCCGCATACGCTCGGGGGTGGTCGCAAGGACTTGTGACCAATAGCAAAAGACGCCTCTTTCGCCTTTATCATTCATTCTGGAGCTGTTTCAGGAATCAAGACAAAAGTCCAACTATTATAACAAAAGGTACCCCCTCTTCTCACTGAGCCAGTTACAGGGGTCTGGGGAACTGAGTGCTGGGACTGAGATACCCATTTGATATAAATCACAATAACGATAAAAACAGCCTGTGCCGCCGAAACCGGTTTGGCTCAATGGATAGAGCGTCGGCCTGTGGACTGAAAGGTCCCAGGTTCGATTCCGGTCAAGGGCATGTACCGTGGTTGCAGGCACATCCCCAGTAGGGGGTGTGCAAGAGGCAGCTGATCAATGATTCTCTCATCGATGTTTCTAACTCTCCCCCTCTCTCTTCCTCTCTGTAAAAAATCAATAAAATATATTTTAAAAAAAACAGCCTATGCCCCACTGGGGTAGCCCTCGTGTTACTGGGGGGACACTGAGCACAGAGCGATGACACGGCTCACCCAAGGTCACGCAGGACGGCTGGGGGCTGGGCCGGTCGCAGGGCGGGCAGAACCCTCAGTCCAGATGGACCTCCCGGCGCTGTCTGTGAGCAGCTGTTTGAACTTGGGCGAGGGTGTCCCTCGGCGTCCAGGGGCACGGAGCTCCCTGCAGCAAGGTCACGCCCCACCCACCCGTCCCCAGGCCGCTGAGAGGCGGGAGGCCAAACCCAGTGACTCCTCCGGCCTCACATGATCCCCGGGTGAGTGGCCGCTGTCACGCTGAGCGTTCCTGACGGGCCGGTCACCGGAGCACAGCTACCTTGGCACTGGCCATTCGGAACTTAAGCCCGTCTTGGCCCAGGAGAGGGAAGTTCCCAGCACAGGGGGGTTTGGGGTGGGTGCTGGCACTGCTGCTGTAGCTGGTGGTGAAGTTGGGGTGGGGGGTAACGGGCAGGCTCTGGGGTCCCTTTCCCCAGGGCCTCCAGAACCAGTCTTAATGTCAGGGTCAGGCCAGAGGACACGCCGGGCGGGATATTTTTAGGAAGGGAGGCTGTGTGGCGCCTTATCTGCCACGAGGGGTGGGCGGTTTGGTGAGGAGGAGGGGGCAGAGGAGAGTAAAGGGAGCAGGAGGAGGGAGGAGGGAAGAGGCAGCCGGGGTGACAGCCACCCGTGCCCCCCTCCCGCCCGGCTGGCCCTTGACTAATTTAGGCAAAAGGCGACGTGGAGCTATTTCCAGCCAGCGGGAACAGGTGCGGGGAGGGGTGCCTGCCCCCCCCCCCCCCGTGGGCCCTGCTGCCAGCTGGCCGCGCGTGGCCTCCCTCGTGGCGGCTCTGCGCTGCCCCCCGGGCTGCGGGGCTATAAAGGCGCCAGGTTTTCTCAATGAAGCCGGGACGCAGCGCCGCGCAGTGAGCCCACAGCAGCCCAGAGCCCGGGATCCGGCAAGCCGAGCCGCTCCCCGCCGCCCCTCCGCCTGGACATGAAGTGCATCGTGGGCATCGGAGGGTGAGCGCCTCCGGGTGGGCAGAGGCCAGGGGAGCGCAGGGGGGTGGACGGAGAGCTGCCTGGGGCCCCGGGTCTGCGGGAGCGGGGCCTGTGCGCTTGGTGGCTGGGCGGCCCATCTGGCTGGACGCAAGGCCCGATTTTAAATTTCCAAACGGAAATCACTTTCCCCCACTCTGCTCAGTGTAAACCCAACACCAGTGGGGAGAGAAGACTTCACGAAGCCCAGACAGATTCTTCCAGCAAGAGGGGGCGGGAAGGTGGGGGAGACACCTCCCTGGAGGCAGACACCTGGGCAGGTGGGGCCCCCCCAGAATGGCATCAGGCTTGATTTCTGGCAGCATCTGGCAGTTGGGGGCCTCGTTCCCTAGGAGTTTTTAAAGCCTCCATCTTGCCCCGCTGGTGTGGGCTCAGTGGTGGACCTATGAGCAAGGAGGTCACAGTTCAATTCCGGGTCAGGGCGCATGCCCGGGTTTGGGGCTCAGTCCCCAGTGCGCGGCGTGCAGAAGGCAGCCAATCAATGATTCTCTCTCATCATTGATGTCTGTAGGTCTCTCCCCCTCTCCCTTCCTCTCTGAAATTATATATATATATATATATATATATATATATACACACACACATATATAAATATGAAAAATAAAATGAAAAATAAATCTCCATTTTATCACCAATAATCAGGCCTTTTAAGATGATGCTAGGGGAGCATTTCACCTAAGCAAGGGAGTTGCCCTGCCCCAATTCCCTCACTTGGTTTAGACTTCTTTTTAATTAAACTTTAGAGAGAGGAAGGAGAGAGAGATAGAGAGATTTGTTGTTCCACTTAATTATGCATTCGCTGGTTGGTTGTTGTATGTGTCCTGATGGGGTGTGCAGGAGGGGGGCGGGAAGGAAAAGGCGTGATTGAACCCATAACCTTGGTGTTTCCAACTAAACTCTAACCAGTTGAGCTACCCAGACAGGGCCAGTTTAAATTTCTAAAGCATTTCCTTTTGTTCCAGGCCCTGCCAATTCTGTAGCCACCATGAGTGCCAGGTGTGTCCTCTAGTAAGGACCCAAATTAATGTCCAGGATGTTCTAAACCGCTCCCCCTTAATGTCCCAGGGTCCCCATTCCTGTCAGCCCTGTAATGGCTGCAGCTTTCCCCTGTCCCATACCTGGCTCTCTGCCCCTGATTCCTAGAGTAAACACAGAAGGTCGAAGGGACACCGATTTCCAGAAAGGTCTCTCAGCTGCCCTTCCATGTCCTCTGTCAGCTCCGGGAGCCCAGAGTCTTGCTCCCTCTGCCACAGGGCGACCCCCTCCCCCGTCCTGGTTTCCCTGCCGCTGAAGGTCCCCAGGATTCAGGACTTTCGGTGCTAATAACAGAGACAGCCTTGGCAAAGCAGGACAAGTTGTCACCCTGCTTTTACCATTGCTTTTTACTTTTTTTTTTTCCTGCTCATAAAGCTGAGCGCCTCTTTTACTTTTGCAGTGAACTACTGGTGTTTCTATTGCAAATATGTTTTCCTCCACCAGTTTTGCACTTGTTTTAACACTCTGACCTTTAAAAAAAAAGGGGGGGGGGGGGGCCCTACTAGGGCTAATCATGCTTGGATCTCCGTTTCTCCTCTGGCTCCATCGCCCGGGTTTGCAAAGACGCTGACATGAGCTCTGTGCTCAGGATGGTCCTGCAGCCAAGACTGTTGGCGATTTGTTTCCATGCTCTCTGCTCCTTTGCGCTGCTTAGAAGGCCTCCTGAGATTCTAGGCAAATAACAGTATCCTCTTAGCTCTAAGGTTCCACAGTTCCATGTTTGTGTTTGCGTCTGGTTTGGGGTGTGGGGGTGAGGGCGGGAGAAGCGGCTCAGACCCCACCCTTTCGATGTCCCCACAGCATGACCAACGGCGGCAAGACCACCCTGACCAACAGCCTGCTCAAGGTGCTGCCCAACTGCTGTGTGATCCACCAGGACGACTTCTTCAAGGTGGCTGCCCCGCCTGGGCTCAGGAGGGGTCCCCCAGGCTGCCCACGGCGGGCTGGGCACAGACCCCTCCCAGCCAGGAGAAAGGGATGGGCGTTCTCACTTCCAGAGCAGCTGCCAGGCACCGGGCACGTCAGACTGGCATTAGACCGATGGAGACACTGCAGTTCCCCAAGGGGGGGTGCCACCAGGCCAGCGCCCCTGTGGCCTTCCAGCCCTCTCTCCCTCTGCACCTCCACTTTCCCATCTGCAAAATGGGCTGAGCCCACCCTCCATGCTTTCTGGAGGGTGAGGGGTAATGAGGTGATGGATATACAGTCTCCTCCCTCCTGGTCCCAAGAGTCCTGAGGGGAGGAGGGGAGTGCCCGGAGCCAGCCTGAGCCCCACCGGGCACCTCAGAGCCGTAAGCATCGGCGGCAGAGGGTCAGGGCAGGCAGCCCGCCGGCCCCCGGCCCCTCGCCGTGTGGGGGCTCTCTAGGAGCCGAGGGGCCCACCGAGCTCCCGTCAGCCCAGGGTGGTGGAGGGGCGGGAAGGCGGGCACTGAGCCCGCGGTTCGGGCTCCTCTGTTTCAGCCCCAAGACCAAATCGCCGTTGGGGAGGACGGCTTCAAGCAGTGGGATGGTAAGGACGGCTGGCGGCCCCGCGCCCCTCGCCTGCACCGTCTCCCCTCCCCCGACCCTGCCAACGCCGCTCTCCCCGCCCCCAGTTCTGGAGTCGCTGGACATGGAGGCCATGCTGAGCACCGTGCAGGCCTGGATCAGCAACCCCCGGAAGTTCGCCCGCGCCCACGGGGTCCAGCCGGACGCCTCGGACACCCACGTCCTCATTCTGGAAGGCTTCCTGCTGTACAGCTACAGGTGAGCGGCGGCCGGTGCCCCCCAGCGGTCGGGCTCAGCTCCGAGGTCTGGGGCAGACCCCCACGTCCTGGGGAAACCGAGTCCTCCCTCTTGCACTCCGCCCTCCCAGGCAGAGCAGCCTCGCTGTGTGGCCCTGGCCAGGATACAGCACCTCTCTTGGCCCATCCAAATTGGGGGCTGCTGTGGGGGTGTTCCTGGGCCCAGCAGGAGACTGGCCAGTGCCAGTCCCCTCCCTGACCCCGACACGAACAGCCCAGACCCCAGCCCCACCCCAGCCCTCATCCCCAGCCAGGAAAGTCCCTGGAGGCCGAGGCGGTGGGGATCTGGGCCCCTGACCCCCTGAAGCCAGGCCCGCAGCGCTGACCGTGCCCCCCCCCCCAGGCCGCTGGTGGACTTGTACAGCCGGCGGTACTTCCTGACTGTCCCCTACGAAGAGTGCAAGTGGAGGAGGAGGTGAGCCGGAGGCCCCGCTGGGTCCCCGGGGGGACCAGGAAACCACCGCTGCCCACCGGACACAGGCGGCCAGCAGGCACTTCTGTCCCAGCAGCCCCAGCCAGGGGCCTGGAGCCAGGGCCTGCCTCTGCCCTGCCCGAGGCACCTCCCAGGCTCAGGGGCTGAAAACGGCAGAAGCGGGGGCACCCAGACCCCAGCCATGGCCCCTGTGGTACCATCCGTGGGCAAGGTCACATCCCCCAGGCTCTGCTCACGGCACCACCTTGGGCAACTCGGGCATCACTCATTCCTGCCGATCTCCCTCCCCAGTACCCGGAGTTACATGGTCCCCGACCCCCCCGGCCTCTTCGATGGCCACGTGTGGCCCATGTACCTGAAGTACAAGCAGGAGATGGAGGCCAACGGCGTGGACGTCGGTAAGGCCCTGGGCGGGAGGAGCCTGGCCCTGGGGAGACCCTGAGCCCAGCCCCTCCCCGTGGGGACCATTTGGGGAGCCTTAGAGTCCCTCTTGCTTTGGACCCCGGAGGCTCTGTCGGCTTCCTCCTGCCCGCCCGCCCAGCTCCTGGCACCAGCCCCGCAGGCCCCACCCTGAGCACGGCCTTTCTGGTTGCAGTGTACCTGGACGGCATGAAGTCCCGGGAGGAGCTCTTCCGCCAGGTCCTGGAGGAGATTCAGAACTCGCTCCTGAACCCCTCCTAGCGGGCCCGGGAGGAGGGGCCCGAGCCGGGCTGGAGGGACACACGGACAATCTGGCCATAGGACGGCCAGGCTGGCGGCAGCCCAGCAGGACGCCGCGCGACCCCTTTCCTCCGTGGACGCCTGTACATACGAGAGTGGAGGCCCACTCGCCGCTCGGCATCGCAGGGCCCCGGGGTCCCGCCCTGAGATGCCTCTGGCCTCACAGCAGCTTCAGCATTAAACCTGATCCTATTTTTTTAACTGTTGGAGTTCAGCCTGTCGTATCTAAGGTGCCAAAAAGAACCCTTCTCCTTGCTTCATTGGTGGCCTCTGGGGGCGGGGGAGGACACTGAGAGCTCTGGGCAGTCATATCAACACGACCCCAGGGGCTGCTTGGGGTTCCTTGCTGCTTCAGTTTCAGTGGATAGAGCATCGGCCTGTGGACTGAAAGGTCCCAGGTTCCGGTCAAGGGCATGTACCTTGGTTGTGGGCACATCTCCAGTAGGAGGTGTGCAGGAGGCAGCCGATCGATGGTTCTCTCTCATCATTGATGTTTATCTCTCTCCCTCTTCTTTCCTCTCTGAAATCAATAAAAATATAGTTTTAAAAAGTGGGCAAAGAGCCGTAGCTGGTTTGGCTCAGTGGATAGAGCATCAGCCAGCAGACTGAAGGGTCCCGGGTCCTATTCTAGTCAAGGGCACATGAATAGGTTGTAGGCTTGATCCCCGGTAGGGGGCATGTAGGAGGCAGCCAATCAATGATTCTCTCTCATCATTAATGTTTCTATTTGTCTTTCCCTCTCCTTTCCTCTCTGAAATCAATAAAAATATATTTTAAATAAATAAATAAATAAATAAATAAATAAATAAATAAATAGCAAAGGACCTAAATAGACACTTCTCCAAAGTGGACATACTGATGGCCAAGAGATATATGAAAAACAATGCTCAGCTGAAACTGGTTTGGCTCAGTGGATAGAGCGTCGGTCTGCGGACTGAAAGGTCCCGGGTTCGATTCCGGTCAAGGGCATGTACATTGGTTGCAGGCGCATCTCCGGTGGGGGGTGTACAGGAGGCAGCTGGTCGATGTTTCTCTCTCATCAACGTTTCTAGCTCTCTATCCCTCTCTCTTCCTCTCTGTAAAAAATCAATAAAATATATATTTTTTAAAACTATTAAAAAAAAAAAAAAGAAAAACAATGCTCAAAGGCACTTGACTATCAGAGATGCAAATTAAAATGATCATGAAGTATCACCTCACAGTTGTCAGAATGGCTTGTAAGACTATATCCTAAGAAAATAGAAACACCAATCCCAAAGAATGCATGCACCCCTATGTCCGTAGCAGCACAATTGACAATAGCTAAGATCTGGAAACAGCCCTAAGTGCCCATCAGTAGATGAGGGGATAAAAAAGCTGTGGCAGCCTTAGCTGGTTTGGCTCAGTGGACCGAGCATCTGCCTGGGTTCCATTCCGGTCAAGGGCATATGCCTAGGTTGTGGGCTCAGTCCTTGGTCGGGGGCATGCAGGAGGCAGCCAATCAATGATTCCCTCTCATCATTCATGTCTCTATCTCTCTCTCCCTCTCCCTTCCTCTCTGAAATCAATTTTAAAAAAAAAATTTTTTTAAGCTGTGGCACATTTATTCAATTGAATACTATGCAGCAGTAAAAAAGAATCTCTTATCCTTTGAGACACCATGAAGGGACTAAAGAGTATCAAGCTAAGTGAAATAAGTCAGTCAGAGAAAGACAGGTATCACATAATCTTGCTCATATGTGAAACCTAAGTAACAAAATAAACTGATGCACGGAGTGGATCCAGAGACACAGAAGCATAGAATAGAGTGTGGAACCTCAGAGGGAAGGCAGGGGAGGGTGGGTGGGTGGGAAGTACCTTGTATACATATATGCAAGCCCATGGCCACAGACCATGGGGCGGTGAGGCCCTGGGGAAGGGAGCAGGGACAGGTTGGAGGGAGTTAATGGAGGAAAAAGAGGACATACGTGATACTTTCAACAATAAAGAATTATTTTAAAAAACAACAACAAAAGGATGTGTAACTGCATCTGGAAGTGGTTAGAGGGTGATTAAGTTAAAATAGGATCCAGAGCCCTATCTGGTTTGGCTCAGTGGATAGAGCGACGGCCTGCGGACTGAAGAGCATTGGGTTTGATTCTGGCCAAGGGCACATGCCCGGGTTTGGGGCTCGATCCCCAGTAGGGGGTGCAGGGGGCAGCCAGTCAATGATTCCCTCATCACTGATGTTTCTATCTTTCTCTCCCTCTCCCTTCCTCTCTGAAATCAATAAAAATATATTTTAAAAATAAAAATGTATTTAAAAAAGGAGAAGAAATTTGGACACACAGAGGGTCACCGGGGCACATGTGCACACTGAGGAGCAGAGAGAAGTTACCCATCTGCAAGCCAAGGAGGCCTAAGAAGGAGCCAGCCCTGCAGATCCACAACAGGACGTGGGCTCGTGGTTGCCAGGGGCTGGAGGAGTGGGGAAAAGGGGACTGACTGGAATGAGGATGGGACTTATTTTGGGGGGAGAATAAAATAATCTAAAATTTATTGTATTCTAAAGTTGATAGGTTGCACAGCCATGAGAACTTGTAAAAAAAAAAATAGTGTACACATTAAATAGGTAAGTTGTGTGGTATGTTAATTCTATCTCAATAAAGCTGTCTAAAAGTCCTTTAGGACTTACTTTAAAAAATCCAGTGTGACTTTTATTTAATTCAGCAGCATTTTCAGTATGTGTGACTTTAATAAGAAACACGTCAATGTCCATTTGCTCATTCACAGCACATCATTGTCATGCTAATCAATTGGGTATACGTTTTGCCAAAACCGGTTTGTCTCAGTGGCAAAGCGTAAGTCTGCGGACTGAAAGGTCCCAGGTTCGATTCCGGTCAGGGGCATGTACATTGGTTGTAGGCACATCCCCAGTAGGGGGTGTGCAAGAGGTAGTTGGTCAGTGTTTCTCTCTCATCGACGTTTCTAGCTCTCTCTCTCTTTCCCTTCCTCTCTGTAAAAAATAAATAAATAAATAGATAGGGTGTACGTTTTAATGGGACACTAAATGTTACTTCACTCAACAAATGTTTATTGGAGCCGGGCTGGCCTGGCTCGGTGGTTGAGCCAGGAGTCACCCATTCGATTCCCAGTCAGGGCACACGCCTGGGTCGCAGGCTCGATCCCCAGTAGGGGGCATGCAGGAGGCGCTGATCCCTGATCCTTTCTCACCATTAATGTTTTTATCTACCCTTCCTTCCCCTATGAAATTGATTTTTAAAATATTTTAAAATGTTTATTGGATATGTAGTATATGGATTGACAAACTATGGCCCATGGGCCAAATCCAGCCTACTGCATCTTTTTGTACAGCCCTTGAAATAAGAATGACTTTATATTTTTAAATGATGGGGGTGGTTATATTTCACTAGAGGTCCGATGCACGAAATTCATGAAAGGGGCTCGGCCCTCGCAGCCCCTGGCAGCCCCTCACAGCCCCAGCTGGTCCGCAAAGCCCCGGCTTTGTCCAGAAGGTCCTCTGGACGGTGGTTCTGCTGTTTGGTCTAATTAGCATATTAGCTCTTTATTATATAGGATGACACATGCAAACAATATGAAATTCAAATTTCAGTGTCTATAAATAAAGTTTTATTGGCACTAAGCCACACCCATATGGCTGCTTTCAAAGTACGAAGGCAGAGCTGAGTAGCTGTGACAGAGATCCTCTAGTCTGCAAGGCCGAAAATAATCACTTTCTGCCCCTTTGCAGAAAATGTCTGCTGACTGGGGTGGTGCATGCAAGGTCTGGTGTGGAGAGCCAAGGAGAAAGACAGCCTCAGGGACAGGCTGTGACCGAGGTCACTGTGTCCTGGAGAACAGGTGGGGGCTGGAGCAGGACCAGGAGGAAGCACCTGGTGGGCCTGCCAAGCCTCGCCCCTTGCCCAGGCACGGAGCAGACCTGCCTGTCACGGGGCCCAAAATAGTGTGGGATGAGGCAGGGACAGGGGAGCGGTGGTTCCGGGGCAGCCAGAGCCCTGCCTGGCCTCCCAGACAGCTTGGTCGTTCTTAAGAGAACAGTAATAGTAGGGTGACCAACTCAGAAAATCAGAAGACAAGTATCAGGGAGGATCGAGAAATTTGGAACCCTCATTCACTGCTGATGGGGATAAAAATGGGGGATTCTTTTCTGCTATGGAAAAGAATTTGGAGAGTTCTCAAAAAATGAAATATAGGATTACCATTCAATCCAACAATCCCACTTCTGGGTGGAATTAGCAGAATTAAAGGTCTCAAATAGATATTTGTACACCCTCGTCCATAACAGCATTATTCACAACATCCAAGAGGTGGAAACACCCAAATATCCATCAACAGATGAATGGATAAACACAACGTGGTCCATCCAGATAATAACATCTTTATTCAGCCTTAAAAAAGGAAGAAAATTCTGTGAAAGTTAGAGGTTTGTAAGGAAAATGTTAAAAAGAACTTATATAAATGGCACACCAGGACAAGCGCGAAATAGGGAAACAGATAGTTAAACAGCAGTCTGCTGCCATCTAGAAAATCTAGATGCCAAGCAGGCCCAGCCATCTAGTAAATCCGATCTTCCCTAAACCAGGGACACTTAAAAGTAAATGACTCGCACTCCTCCTCCCCAGCCAGAGGGTAAATAGCTTAAATCAGCAGCCACCAAGCTTTTGGATCTCAGGGACCACCAGTGATCCGCCGACCATCGATTGGTGACCGCTGGCTTAAATCACCCTACTCATGGAGACAGATCACAGAAATCCAACTAGTGTCATTTGCTAACCACACTCAAGGACAAATGAAGTTAAGAGAACAAACCTCATTTTGGTATATCAGCATAAAGCTGATGAATTGTACTGAGATCCTCCCCTAAACGCCCAGTCTTTAAAACCATCAAAAAGAAGGCCCTGTGCTCACTTCGGCAGCACATATACTAAAACTGGAATGATACAGAGAAGATTAGCATGGCCCCTGCGCAAGGATGACACGCAAATTCGTGAAGCGTTCCACATTACAAAATAAATAAATAAAAAATAAAGGCCCTGCATACCCTCTCCTGAATAATAAATTTAATTAAATGCGTTCTATATAATAAAGAGCTAGCATGCTAATTATATTGGACGGAATGACCTTCTATAATGACCAGTGGGCAGGGGGCGGGGCTATGGGGTGTGAGGCAGCTGGGGTCAAAGGGCAGCTGGGACCCT